ATATGTTTGTTATTTTTAATGTTAATAGTTTTCCTGAATATTTAGTTTCGATTTCTTTTGTGGTTAACGATGCGTATATTATAAAAGAAAACTTTCATCATGCGACAAATAAAATATATTATAAATTGTCTATTGAATTCAAACCATCGAAATTTGGCTTTAAAGCCAGAAAGTTTAAAACGCGTTGAACACGTGGAAATCGAGACCACTACCTACCTATTGCACGACAGATACACTTCTTTCCACGCCTTCACATTGTGCCCGTGTTCCAGAGAACAAACCGTTCTTGTTCGAGTACCTACTTGAAAGATTTCACTGTTACGTCTCGTTAAATATGTAATTTAATCATCGAGTACAAATATTTATACTACGTATAACCTAACATACACACTTTATAATTTATATTATAATTTTATCGTTCAAACATTCCGAATCAAATGATAATCGAAATAAATATAATATTATGATATTAAAACGTAAATTCTTTCACGATTCAAAACAATTTAACGGCTTGTAATTATTCGTCAACGCGATTGTTTCGAAATCGTTTAAAGAATATTATAATAACTATTAAAAATTAACGTATCTACCGATGTTTAAACAACATTCTTGTTTAACGTTCACTAATAATGGACACACTAATTATTACCTTGTACCTTACACCCGACCAGCCGATTTTCTCCCATTATAATTAATTACATTAAAACATATTTCATGAAAAGAAACTATCGATAAACAATCGTTTCAAGTCTAATATAAACGATGATGATGATTATTATTAATAATCTTCGTCAAAAGTCGATGTCACAACTTTAATGCAGAGTTGTGTGCGCGTCAAAGCCACAAAAGAGCGATCGAATTTCCAAAAAAGAAATTATATGATAGAGCTGTTACTGTTTCGGTTTTACCCAGCGCAGATCAAAATCCGGGAACTACCATTGATTGCGCAATATACCTACGCCTCTACCTACGCGCGTTTGGCGCGGTCGCATTACTATCTATATTATTATTATTACTATTATTATTCGAATTCCGTTCTACAAACCGCTTTCGTTTTCGTTCGCATTCTCCTCTGTATCACCGTGAATATCGTCGTTGGACCGGTCGATCGTAAACGAATCCTAATCGATTTTTTTTCGCCTGCAAAACTCGATGTTGTTATAATAGTTGGTTGGACAGGAAGCAGCTGAGGCCGATCACGTATCGCGTGTGCATTCTACTACCGTTATAATATTATTGTTGCATGGCATATATTATTTTAATTAAAATATCGTCTCGTCCCTCGTCACCAGTGTAACTACAACAAGTTCACTTTCTACATACCTACGACACACACCAGCTGTAAAAATATTATAATATTGTAATGCTGATTTCGCCTGGCAGACGTGCGCGGTCAAGTGCGTGGCTGTCGCCGAAATAGGAAAACTGGAAACCGTCTGAGGGGAATATACGGTTTGTTGACTTTGAAAACGTAAAAGAACTGCATATAATAACAATTAAAGACGACGCATAATTACCTACCTGTATACTATCTATCGTCTTTACGACTTGAGCGCACATGTAGAGCGGCATAATTCAGGTACGCGCGATGCATGGTTTTGCCAAAGACTACATAATGTTTTCGTTTTTATTTCTCTTTTCGTTTTAAGGTTTTAACGTCTCCAATCATTTCGAGTATTCGTAACAATTATAAAATAAACGCTCGTTAAATGCAAAACGTTTGAATAATCATTAAAAGAAGAAAAAATAATTAAATAAGAACCATTTTGATATAATATATTATTATTATAATATTATAGTAGGTAGGTTGGTTGAGGTAGATGAGTTTTTATGTTCACTTCGTCTTTGAAAATGTGCTGTATAATTGTTATTGTCATTGTATATATTTTTAAATTTAATACTTAAACTAAGCAATAAACGATCGTTGTCTATGGCATTTCGTTTCTCTCTTTCTCTATCTTTTTATATAATATATATGTATTGGATACTGTAGTAATAGATTTATTTTTTATCGAATAACTTCCACCAGGGTCAGATTTCGGGGGTCAATGGAGCTCAGGCCTAGGGACTCCACAAGATTCAATTAATAAGAGGCTCCCATAAAATAAATATTTTAAGCAGTAAATTTCTTCGTGTTTTTTTTTTTAATTTTCCTAAGTATTTGTTAAAAATACATTTTATTTGTCTATAAGTTTCACAAGTCTTAAGTGAGTAAACGAATAATAAGATTGAGATTGGTAATTTTCTACTATTTTTGTTTGACTATAAATAAAATTATTTATCAGTGTCGGGTGATGCCTTTTAATCTTAATAGTTATTTTTATTTAAAAGCTTATATTATTCTGTGCGTGGTGTAATAATTATTCAACAATATAAGTCAACTAAAAAATTTTTATTTGTGATGACCCAGCCCTCTCCCCACAGGCCAGACTTTCGCGGTCACCGTAAATGTGTCTATACTGACGAGTTATTGAATTTGTCCATTAAGCTAAGTAGTAATTTCTAATGAATAATGATTAATACAAGAATGATCGGTTGATAAAAACAAAATGATTATAAAAAAGCGGTTGAGCGGAAAAATTGTACCTTATCGAGATTTTCAAACTGTAATAAATAACTACCAGTTTGAACGTAAATGTTTGCATTTTATTGTTCTTTGACTACATTCTACGGCCATTCATCGTTATTTTATTTCATAAACATTATAAGTAAATAATTATATAATTCAAGTAGAAAAACAAATAACGAGAAAAACTCGTACACAGAGGTCAGACATAAACATTATTGTGCATACCTTTAATGTCAAAAGAATGTATTGGTGAGATCCAATGTTAAAAACTCGTATTTCTGACATTTTTTACTTCGGAACTGGCATACTTCATTCAATAAATTAAAAGCATAACACTAATGTTATTATTAGTCAACAGGCAACAGCCCTTATCGATCATCGCGAGTCAATAAATAATATATTAAACTGTTGTAAAAAAATAATGTTCAAAATCATGCAAAATGTATGTAATTTACGCATATTATCTATAAAACATATGTATGAAATATTTCTTGATAATAACTATTTTTATTAATTTATTCTAAATCTCTGTTGGTATCTAATAAATTAATACTGCTATTGTAGGTTACCATTGCTCGGGTATGTAGGTATAAGTACCGGATAGTGACCATCGTCGGTTAGATACCTTGTAATTAAATGTTAACTATAGGTATACGTGTTCAAAATTCATTTGTCTTACATTATACATAATAATTAATAACCGACAGACTAACACTTGTTTTCTTGTTTTGTAATCATAACGAATTATTATAAACGCCATACAAGTATACCTATTGTACAGTTGAGTATGTTCATTATCATACACCAAAATAGAAAATAAGAATAAGATAAAAATAAATCATTTTCCATTCGTAGAGTATAAAATATGTAGTATATGAGTATAAATAATGGATACTAAAAAAAAGGCAATTTTTAATTTAATTTGTGTTATTATTTTCCTGAAAATTTGTTACTTACTTAGTTACTAGAATTTATTTATACTTTATTTTTTACTTTAATTAAACTCAACTAATTAATTTTATTGAATAGCTTAATTTTTACTAATTATAAAAATTAGTTAACTTTCCCAGCTTTGATAATAACCAACTGACTGACATTTATTTTATCATTAAAACGGATTGGAAACATTATACAACTATACAAGTGCAATATATCTATTGTGTATTTCAATGTTTTTATAGATAATTAAAAATGAACAACCGTTTATATTAATATAATGAATACGACCTAAATAAAATAAAAAATTTAAGATTTTCGTTGCATTTCCTCAATTGTTTGCATGACAATCGTATACTACAGTTATAACTGATTTTTACAATAGAACTATAATAAGTACATCCTCCGTGAAATTAATTATTACACTACTTATATATAGCAAGCAGGTACGCTATTTTATTGTACGCATGATTAAACGTACAGATTTATGTTATAAAGTGAGATATATTTTTTTTTTTTACTTTTCACCGAATAAAAAAATTAATCAATTTTTCAACTATGTTATGTCATAAATAAAAAATAATATCGATGTAAATAGCATGCTGGTTTTGTTTTTGTTACGAGGTTTTGAACTTCGCATATCGCATAGCTTATAACGTAAATATCATACATAAAGAGGTACATTGTATAGCATGTCATTGATTCGAGAAATGAGTGTTGAAAATAACTTACAGTGTCCTTCTAGAATTCAGTAAAAATGTTAATAATATCATATTTGAAGTTTCGGACAATTTAATCATAATTTAATTTAAATGTGACCTGATATACATATTAGTGCAATCCAAATAGTTCCGGTGTGACAATTATCATATTATAATATGTCTGCACAATCAGTTTCAGGTGATATATCAGTATTAATAATATATTTGTTACTCAACAACCGTGGCGTAATAGATAGCTAAGTGATCAATAAAGAATATATCTATATAATAATGCCATAATCCATTCGATTTTTTTTCATTTGTTCAATATTATTTAAATTATTGCTTATTTTTAAAAAGAGGAAGCTAAAAAAAATTGATTAGAATGTAAATAATTTATAAACAATTAGAGAGATATTCTTGGTTTTGTCGATTATTTGTTTATTCTATTTAGATCAGCGGTTCTTAACCTTTTGTAAACCATGGACCTCTGATTAAAGATTTTTAGAAACCATGGATCTCCTTACCAATTTTTTTTTCGAATACCTTTCTTTTACAATATGTCACGTATTGACCTAAGTTATGTGTTAAGACTGCCGCGGACCCTTAATATAAGTATAACGAACCCCCAGGGGGCTGCAGATCCCAGGTTAAGAACCGCTGATTTAGATATTATTGGAATGTAATTATATTATAAATTTACTGTTTAGTCAATATTTCAAATGATTAAAGTATAAAGATTTCAAATACATATTTATAAAACCAAATATACTAATGAAACTTTTTTTCTACAGGTCACAATAAACAATGAAAGGGTGGAGATTGGTCGTGCTTCTCTGCACGGCCTTGTTAAGTGAACCAGTACGGCCACAAGAGAAATGGAGTCGACCTGAGACTGCCGCAAAACGTGTTGATGATTGGGTACCTATAACGGCATCATGTCCATCGTGTCAAAAGAATCTAGAATCTAGTGGCGAAGCAGGCGGCGTTGACGAAGTCGGACGTTTATTAAATCCACCAGCCTTACCATCCGGGCGTGCATTTAATTTTAACGCCAAACAAAACAGTTTTAATCGGGCTCCAGCTGGCGAACCATACGAAATCACTACACCAGCGGCAACGTCGGCTCAATTCTTTGGCCAACAACAAGCACCAAAAATACCACAACCTGTACACTTTCCGGTACCGTTTTTTAGCCAACAGAATCCGTTCCAGGGTAGATTTCAAGGACCACCCAATTTCCAGCCACAATTTACGTTCATACCTCAACCACAAATTCAGCCTGTACCGAAGGAAAACAAAGTGACGTTCCCCGAATCACCGTTCATCCAGCAACAAAACAAAGGGTCGGTGCAACTGGTGTATGTTCCCATTGAAGCGCTACAGAGGCAAAAACCCAGATTACAAGCTGATAGGCCGATACCGCAGCAGTCACAGATCGACACAAAGACGCAATCTCCGTTCGAGACTGGCAAATTAAAATTCCAAAGACCACCACAACCATTCGATCCACAGTTCCCATTTCCTCAACAATTTGAACAAGAACCCAATCGTTTTGTACCACCGCCACCGCCATTTGAACAGAACACTGGCCGTTTTCCTCCACCATCACAGTTATTTGAACAAGGTAAACCCGGTTTCCAAAATCAATTGAAGGAACAACGTCCAGAGTTTTTGCCTCAAAATGAACAACCTGTCAGTTCACAATCATTTCAGTTTGTTGATGATGCAAGAAACCCACCTTCTAACTTTTTCCAATTTCACGATAATAGATTCCAAAAGCCATCTTTCGAAAATAAACCAAAAGAAACGAAACCACAAGGACAACAATCATTTACACCTAATCATGATGAATCTAGACAAGAGTCTTCCCAAAATGTCGTTTCAAACATTGATGGAAGTCGTCTAAGACAAGGACCACCACCACAACCTCAAAATTTCCAACCTAATTTCCAAGAAACAAGACCAAAACAGGAATCATCACCACCGCCGCAATTTGTTCCCAAATTTGAGGAACCAAAATTAGAACCACAACAACAGTTTGTGCCTAATTTCCAAGAAAATAGGCCAAGACAAGAATCATCACCACCGCCGCAATTTGTTCCTAAATTTGAAGAACCAAAATTAGAACCTCAACAGCAATTTGTTCCAAATTTCCAAGAAAATAGGCCAAGGCAAGAATCACCACCACCGCCACAGTTCGTTCCTAAGTTTGAAGAACCAAAATTAGATCCTCAACAACAGTTCGCTCAAAATTTCCAAGAAAATAGGCCAAGACAAGAATCACCACCACCACCACCACAGTTCGTTCCTAAGTTTGAAGAACCAAAATTAGAACCTCAACAGCAGTTCATTCCAAATTTCCAAGAAGTTCCACAACAAGTAACAGAGCAACAAACATTTACTCCTAATTTTGAATCATTAAGACCAAACCCAGAAGTTCAACAAAACTTTGTCCCTAATTTCCAGGAAACGAGACCTAAACAAGAATCACAAGCACCATTTGTGCCGAAATTTGAAGAAGTAAAACAAAAATCAAAACCAAAAGTTCAATTATTACAATCTTCGACATTAGCACCTCAGCAATCATTTAATTCACCAAGTTTGATTGAAAAAGTTGTACAAAAACCATCGACGCCATATCCACCTCCTCATCAACCACCACTTTCTGTTTATATGGAAAAACGGCTAGATAACAAGATAAACGAAGTACTAACCATACTAAAGGATGAAAAAACTATTCCAGTATTAGATACAATCGGTAATCGTTCACCCAAAGTGTTTGTCGGACCATCCGATCTCGATGCACCCAGAGGTTACGTTAAATTTGAACTGCCTTATTTATCGTCACTCGATATTACTAAAATTGATTCGATGGCCGATCGATTACCATTTTTCGTTGCTCCACTTAATTTCAAACCTCCACCGGGTTACGCAAAAATTCCATTCCCACCACCACATATAGGATCTGTTGTTTTGTCTTCTAAGTCACAAGTTGTTTCTTCTTCTACTGAATTCAATCCATTCAAACTCACGTCTCAATTGCCGACAGAGGTGAACTCTTTACAACCATCCGTATCAAGTACCACGCAACGAGGAACCGAAAGAGCTCAACCTAGCACTGATGTCACACCCACTACACCGAAACGAAACCGACAAAGAAAACCATTGCATAGGGGTTCATTGACTAGTTTCAGTACAACTACTCCTTTAAATGATATTACAGAACGGCAAAAAGATAAATTTACAACACCTGTAGAATTACAAAAATTGCCAGAAATTTCGACTTCGGTGAATGATAATCAGCAATTTTTGGAGACTACACCAACATCCATTAGACAAAAATTTTCACGAAAGCCAGTGGAACAACAACACACAGTTTTTGAAACCACGCAAGCACCTGTATTTGATAACACGCAGAAACAACAGTTTGACAACATACAACAACAACAATTTGAAAACACACAACAACAACAGTTTGATAACATCCAGCAACAGCAGTTTGACCATACACAGCAACAGCAACCTGATAACACAAATTTACAACAGTTTTTCGCAGATCAACAAGTCCCACAAAATCAACAAAACTATTTGGACACTATAAGCTCTTGGCCTCAGCAAGAACAACAACAGATTTTTAATAATCAACAACCGAGCCAACAGCCGTTCTTTGAAAATCATCAACAACTTTTAGACAATCCTTCACAAACCAATCAAGAACAAGTTTCAAGCAATTCTCAATCGTTAACCGATCTAAATAATCTGGAAAGAAATCAGCAACAGTTTATTTCTAGCTCAACTGAAAAACAGATATTTAAAAACTTCCAACAAATACAACCACTTTCTCAGTACCAAGTAGGTAATAACTTTTTAAATCAACAACAGTCGTCCACGGAACAAGTTCAATCGGTATCCAATACTCCACAAACCGTATCTGAAGAACCTCTAACGGCTGCGACATTATCTCCCACAGATACACCGAAACTTAGACAACGTCTGTCGTATTACGATAAATTATTGTTGACGTCAACTCAAGTGCCAGTCGAAATACCAAGTACTCAAAATGTCATTGAATCTAGTGAAAAACCCAAAGAACGAACGAAGTTGAGGCCAAGGCAGAGATTAACTACGACCAAAAGACCAACAACAGAGTCTTCAAGCACTTCGGAAGAAGTGTCCGAACAGATAACGGAAACGTCAACTCAAAGGTATAATCCTCTGAAGAGACGTCGCCCGGTAACAACTACGACAACTACTGAAACAACCGAAATTACGAGAAATCCTCTGAGGTCTAGAACGACACAAGCTAGTAGATCAGAATTTGTGCGATCAAGATCTAACAGAAGAACAACTACAACAACGACTACGACCACAGAAGCCGCGCCAGTGCAACAACAATTCCAAGACGAAGTACAGCCAACCAGTCAACAAGACGAACAGAAGAAAATCGAAGAAGCCGCGTCATTCTGGAATGAACCGGTAACCGTACAGCAGAGTCAAAGTTACGAGTTAGATACGAGGTACACGCAATCGCCTCCTGGTCCAGATAGCAAATTTAGTAGCGGAGAACCACCAGCGGACGAGGATATTTCAAAGGAAAAACACTATCACAATAGTGGTAATGACAAGAAAGCTCACGACCCGAACGTTGAGAAAAAAACACCAGGCCGCCGAGGCCATTGGGTCAGAGTACGAGTAAAGAAACCGCAAGACAACTTGGACACAGCTGAGTCACAAAACTCTTTAGGTCCCCTTTCAGCAAACGCTGTTCATGACTTGGTGACAAAACCGACCACTGAATTCGGAGTCTCATCGTCTTCCGCTCCGGAAGAACCATCCACAACAACAACTACCACTACGATTGCACCGACAACCATAACCGCGTCCGTTACAACTGACATCAATCAGAAGCAATTTTCGGCAACTACCACTTCTGATAATACAGAGGTGCTGGTAACGACGACGGAAGAAGAACGTACGGTCGAAACTACACAGACTCCGGAAGTGTCTCCACCAGTTGCCAAATATCCAGACGATGAACAAGACGAGGCGTTCCAGCGAAACTTGGCTGACATGCTGGCTAAATTCATCAGTGGTGGTGGTGGTGGTGACGAATCTCGGGCTGAGGCCGTTACGGTGTCTGCGACAGCTGAAGAGTCGACAGCTGACTTAGTTGCGGAGACAGAGTCAACCGACCCAACTACCGTCACCGCAGCCGCGGTCACGGAACTGCCTATCGCGCCGGTCACGTCCACCACGACCAAGGTATCTATGGAGACTGAAATATGCTATAAGGGTAGGTGTGTGAAGAGCAAAAAAAACAAACAGATCACCGACCTGGTGTCCGAGCCATGAATATTATAATAATATAAAGTATATAATAAATATTAAATATAATGTAATATGTACACGCGTATCTTAAGGTTATAATTAGAGAAGTCGTAAGACGATGATGCTTCTTTATGGCAAGCATCAGTAATTTTCGAGTATATTAGGTACAGCGTACAGAATAATAAAAAAAAATTACTGCTCGTACATTCGCTTCGAAGTCCACATAAAACCAAAGATACAAACGGAATACAAATCTGTGCCAACGTCTAGAAAAAAATAAATATTTTGTACATATTATTTTTATGCATAAATATTATTATATTTTAGTCACATTTATATAATTTATTAGTAACGTATATACGTTGAACAAACATTTATTTATATAAACTTATCAAATGTATCTACTTTTTGTAGTTTCAAATATGAAACTAACTTCATACAATTCTAAACATATTTTATTTAATATTTTTTATTTTGTAATTGTATATAAACATGTTTTACTTACCTATTAAATATTTATTTGGTAAGTGAACCGTTTGCTTTGTCATGAAAAACATAATGTATGTATTATGTTTGCATTAAAATATTGTAAATTCTATGTATGCTGAATTTAATCATAACATTGTTGATATATAATTGTATTATATTATAATCATTAATGTTAAGCATAATATTATTATTTATATTGGAATGTTACTACATAAAAATTTTCTCTGGAATCAATAAACATCGGAAAAAGGAACTCTTCAGTCGAGAAACATCTTAGTTTTGTAATTTATATGTAATTCGTATATTATTATTAATTTTACTGTGTACACTGTGCAACATATTATGTATGATTAAATTAATTTTCTATAAAAATATGTATTAAATTTTATGTTATTAGTTTTTAAATATAATTATCTCATTTTGGTACCTAACTAGTAACTACACTCACTTAATCTTTAGCGATTTTTTTGGACATATAAGTATACATCACAACTTAATTATTGACCTTTAAAAAAATACAGGGGAATATTATAAATTTAAATAGAAATTGAACAATTATAAAATTTAATCTTTACAAGTAATCAATGATGTATTATATTATCATATTTATATTATGTTGACGTTTTAAAAACAAAATATAAAATTAAAAAAATAATAAAAATGTGTCTTGTTGATAAAGGCATAATAATATCATGAAGATTAATTTAGAATTGGCAAGAAATAATTAAAATTATAATTATTTATGCGTTAATCAGAGTATTGAATTATATCTGCATAGCAACTTATAATATCACTATTTATAACAAAATTATAATAAATTATAATTAAATATATCATAAATTATAATGTTATTTACGCTTTCCTCATACTGATCAATAATGTTAACATGGCAACGGTAGTGAGTCTAACAAAAAACATCTTACGAATTTCAGATAGACCCTAATCCAAAAGATAGCATATTCACTTCAAATGCCATAAAAAAATGATTAAAATGTCCATAATTGCCTGCTACTAATTTTCCATGTATATTTTTAAACATTTAAATGTAAGTGTTTTTTAAATCGAATATGTCATATATATAATACAGAGTAACTTTAATCATTAATCAGTAGAAAAGTGCATCAAAATGCTGGGGTGCCACTCTACTCCGACCATAACTACTCGTCCAAAATTTGATTTATACATTATATCGAAATATTTCAAACAACTTTCTGCTTTAGAGTATGAAATAAAAAATGTATTTTATTGGATAAAAAAGTAAAAATAAAAATATTATACCGATAAAAAAATATAATTTTTAGGTTGCTTTTGTTATTTATTACTTACAATTTTGTAGAAAAAATATTTTCAAAAACTGAAATTGTTTTTAAAATAATGTTCATCATAAAAGAATTTAAATTTGGTGTATAATATATATCATCACACATTTATTTATCTATAGAATTAAAATGTTGAGGAGAAAAATTTAATTACAGAACTCTAAATATTAAAGTATAATTTAGTTTCAGCTTCAAATAGACTAAATACTAAATAGACATTGGATTAAATTAAGTTGTTATGTTCAATAGTCTCGCACGGACAGACTGCGGTTTTACGTATCGTCGCGGTTCACAGCGACTATATTCAAAATAAGTACAATAATATAATAAAATATGATTAATATACTGCGGTCGATTTAAACAATTCGTGATCATGAACTGTCAAGTTCAATGTATTCGATTTCGTTCATCACGACTGGTCGCCTTGAACGAGAGTCGAGAGTATAATATAAAAGTTAGGATAGGAATTAGGTACCTACGTAGCTGCAGGTTCGGCGAAAGTGCAATAATTATGTTTACAAGTACACTCACTAAATATCATAACGCTTTAACCGTCTGATGGCAAATTCAAATGTTATGATGTGTTTTGATCACACGTGCTTTCACAACGAGAGGGATTCAATTTGCAATATAAACGTATGAAATATGAATGTATAATAAAATAACGCATATTGACAGCAATTAAATTCTAAAATATTATTTATAAAATATGCTATGTTTATATTCAGTATATTATTGCGCAAAAAAAAAACGAGTTATTGAGTTTTATATGATTTTTTATGTGTTTTTTATTCATAATGAAACAACTTTAAGAAATATAGCAGTAGGTTAATAGGTATAGATATTTTATTAAAATATCAATATTATATTTTTCCTAGTTTATAATAATAGGCAAGTATTGAAACTTATTACTAGAATAAATGACAATAAAACTATTGAAATAAACAATACATCATATTTATTAATATAATTTGAAGAAATTATGGTGATAAAATAAATATTACCTAAACATTTTACAAATAAATGTTTTTTAAAAGATGCAAGTTACATTAAAATCAGAATTTATACATATATTTTGAATTTAAAGTAATTATTTACATGAACTATTCAAATACAACAAAAACTAATAAATCTATTTTAATTACAATTAGTTAAAAAAGTTATCTTGTAAAAACTCGCAAGAGATACAAAGGATAATATTGCAGGTTCTATATCAGACATTGGGTCAATAATAAAACTGTTATATTTTGTTTCCACCGTTCATTTTCAAATAAACACGAATAAATTAACAATTACATTTATCAGTAATAAACGAATAATATTTTGATTTTGAATCACTTGTGAATGCTCGACTGTATATACGTGATTATCACAAATGATCTACATTACCATCGGTGACATTGAATTGAGTCCATACTACTTTTATATGTTTGAATTCAGTCCAGCTTATTATCTTAATAACTTTGAATTGAGTCCGTAAAGATAAAATGTCATAATTATCTACATAGTTATAGTAACGAATTTTTAATATTTTGTTATATTTCCCAAAATAATAAGATAAGTATGTACTTAAAATTTTCAATATCTATATTATGATAAAATTTTCAACAAATTTTAACTCTTTTTGAAATATTTACAGATATGACAAATTTTCAATTTTTTTTAGTATTTTGCTATAATTGTCGATAAAAAATATTTTCTAGGTAAAAATTACTTTTATTTATTATTATTTTTAATATATTTTAATTGATTGACTCTTTATACTTATTATTACAATTATACAATTAAAAAAAGGGACTCAACTTCGCTAAACCAAAAGTATTTGCGGGACTCAATTCAATGTTATCCATCACCATAATAATAAATGTTCAGGTCAATCTAATAATGAGCACTTACAGAGTTATAAAAAATAATAAATGTAAATGTACCTTCGTTAGTAATAAATTCATAATGGTGAAGTTAGATTTCTATTTTTTCCTAATTGAAACTAAAAAATTATAACACCCACTTACCTACTTATTTAACCTTCGCAAAACCGGTCAACTGGTAATAATAATTTAATATATTTAATAATTGAAAAATAATCTGAGTATAAAGAAAACAATCATATAAGTACTCGTACAGACACCTATAATACTCAATAAACGGATGACACTTTGTATTGTATACGTTTGCTTGATATGCACACATCACACCATGTACACTTTGTACAGTATAAATAATTTGGTAATAATTGATAATAGACACTGTGTACGGTGATAATAAACTTGTAAAAATTGATTGCTGATAGTTTGTATAGTAAAAATAAACCAGAAAATTACTTTTACGAGATGAGATAATATTAAACTGTTAAAATTTCTATTCTAAAAAAAATTTACGAAATCTATAAATAACATATTTGATTATTACGATTAGGTATTTGAAATAATATGCAATAATATGTATAACTATTAATTGTATATATGCAAATTTATAATTCTCAGCGAACGTTTTAAAAATTCTCAAAACTTGTGTATAACAGGAAAAAAGAATTATAATAAATTTAATTATACAACTCATAATTTGTTCACATAAACTTATCATTTTTAAAAACCAACAAATTTAAGTTTCTGAATATGTATATATTATTATGTTATCTTATAATATAAATGACTATTTAATTATTTCTTTATGAAATTACAACAAAACTTATAACTTACAAGACTATTGGGCTACCTGTATCTACATATAAAATATGTAATAACAAATTATGTACAACGTATACAATTTTTTTTTCAGCTAAAATAGTACAAACTGTCCGCGGTTTTCATTTTTTCTATAATTTGACCATTTAAAGTGATCTTAAGACCTACAACCATAATACACATATATGCTAGTTCTCAACGATTTAATAAATAAGTAACAACAGTTTTGACGATTCGACTACGACATAAAAACGTTTTCTTATACAGATTAAACGATATATAGTAATAATGAATTATGTTCATTGTTGGTGTGTGTGGTAGAAATTTCGATTTTGTTCACATTTGCGATTTGGACATTCCTTTACGCTGTGCCTTATTACATTTTATTTCGAATAAATATACTGACACTTATATACCAACTATCAAGTCCTATCTAAATAATATTATGTTGGCCAGTAAGCATTATGAAACATTAAGAAGCAATTAAAGTATAATTTTTAAATTTTAAAAACAATATGCTTCTGACCTAGGTAGCTAGGTAATTTGTGTATGATTGTCTATTGCTGATCCAAGTTGTTCATGGTTGAAAAATTATATAATATATCAAGCATAATGTAACACAGAAATTATTTTTTACAACAGTGAATGCAGAAGGAATCACTCACGTTAGTTTATAATATCATATTACGTGAAGAAATCTACCAATTAATTCTATATTTAAAGTAATATTTCATAATATAATTTAAAAATGTTTATTGTTCGGCCCACAAATTAAAATTAATATTACTAAGGTTAAGGCGAGTAAGTCTTTTTAGTATTATATATTATTGTTATTATTTATATATTATATTTATCTACATAAGCACGATTCGACTGGTTTTAAAAATTAACAAAAATTTTTCATTAATGGGATATCACTAATTAAACATTTCACAAATTAGGTATTATAAGTAAATAATCGTGGAACAGCGAATTTTGTTCAAAGCAGCCGTAGCACAATATATTGTAATCATTTATTAAGGAGTAACATATAGGCATACAATATGCACACATTTTGGGTCTATCAAAGT